TTAAAAAGGCTTTGAAGGAGAAAGTAGTTGCAAAGTTTACATTACCAAGTCACAAATCAGAAGACATGCTTTGAAGAATCCCAGCTGACAAGATTATTTGTGCCAGGCTTTTTCCTGGTACCTCTGGGCTAAACAGATTGTTATTTCTCTTTGAATTGACAGATTGAGGTTTGGCTTTGGTTTTCTAAGATGGAAGTGTCTTTCTTACAGCATAAGCACATGTTAAATTATGCTATTTTTATTATGATTTAAGTCCAGCTAAATGATAAGGGTGAAGAGACTATAATTATTGATCATCTAAGTTTATCTACTTCTTCCTCCAAAAGGCTGTAAGGCTCTCTAGGGGCTGAAAAAGTGTTGAAAAGAACTCTCCATTTCTTACATGAGTGATGTCGTTTGATTACAAGAAATCAAAGTTGATCAGGGTCATGGCATCAGTAGTTGATATCACAATTCCTGCACTTTCTGGGTTTTTTTTTTTGAAGTGTGGCTGCCTGTCCAGATGTGGGATAGAATGTGCACATAGAAGTTAATGTGAAATAATGCAGAAATTGAAGTCTTTGGGGGAACTGTGTGCTACCACACTATAATTCAGTTTTATTGAGTTTTTTCCTTGTGGTCAGATCATACCAGCATGACATTGATTCTGCTAAACAGCCTTGTTAAAAAAAAAGCAAGGAGCTATTTATAGAACTTCAAATGTCTTAAAAGATTCAAGAGGATAATTTACTTTTGAGTTTAATTATTAGCATTAAGGCTTAATTATAGTTTTGCGTGAATGGAAATTCTGTGGAATCAATCTCACACCTTTTTTCACAGGAACTGGAAATCAAGAAAATGGCTAAGACTGGTAACAAAGAGGCCTGCAAAGTGCTGGCAAAGCAGCTGGTGCAGCTGAGGAAGCAGAAGAATCGGACCTATGCTGTGAGCTCCAAAGTCACTTCCATGTCCACTCAAACCAAGGTCATGAACTCACAGATGAAGATGGCAGGAGCTATGTCAGCTACAGCAAAAGTAAGGCACCACAGGATCTTCTATATTGAAATGCAGCATTTGGTTGCAAAAATTGTGTTATTTTGTGTAATTGCAGGGCTAAAACTCACTGTACAGGGGTGGTGAGGATAAAGCAGCGAAAAATAATTTGGGTTATAAATATAAAAAAATATTATTATATTTTTGCTTGGTCAATCTACTCACATAGCACCTATGTACTTTCTTGGGCTAGACATCTGTCAAATGTTTACATGATAAAAACAAACTAATGCCAGTGAATGAACTCTTAGTACATAGAAAACCCCAAACACTGCTGCTACAGTGCCTTGCCTGTATTTATTGTCACAGGCAGTTTTTCCTGGGAAAAAATGGGGCATGATTCATCTAGAAATCAAGGCAGTGTGTCACAATAGCTTTATGGCTTTTGGAAAATGTAGGTTATTGCTTTGGATCTAAAGTTCCTAAAAAAATCTAATCTGGAGTCCACTGGCATTCTGTCTGTGCTCTCTCAGGAAGGAGTATTACATTAAGTTTTCTCCCAAATCTCATCTCATAAAAGAGTGAAAAATCTCAGTTTTCCAAGTTAGGTGTGAACTTTCCCCTATTTCCTTGTATTGATAAAGAGGGATTTGGCTTTTGGCAAGGAGGGCTGTTCAGCTCAAGGTGCAGGAAGCAGAATTAGTATGCATCACTGTAGACCAAGCTGAGCTTTGATCCCAGTCCAAGTTAAATCCAGTTAAACACAGCAGTGTAACTCGGTGCAGAAAAGAATTACCGCAAAGGCTTGGTGGTCAGGTGCCTTTTACACACAGCATGAGGGCAGATTCCAGCCAGCCAGTGATACAGAGTTGTGGCTGTGCAGCAGATTTACAAACTGGATTTGTCTGACTGATCATCTTCAACACCTTTCTCAGTATTCTAACAACAGTGCTCATGTGAACAAGTTGGTCTTGCTTTTTAATTGTTACATGGGTGACTCGTTTATATCTGTGATAGATCTTGGAATAATTTTTTCCAAACCAAAGTGTCAAGGGAGTAGTTATAAAGATTAGGTCAGTAGGAAAAAATTCCAAAAACATTTTTAAAAAAATTACCCAGCATTCAGAAAAATTATGTTTTTTTGAAACACAACAGGTACTTGTATGTACAATTTGTGTAAAATTATTGGAGAGAAAGGTCTTAAATTCTTTTGATCACTCTTAAAGTGAATATTTTGCCTTATCAACACAGGAAACTTAAAGAATTGTTAATCTCATAAAACCATTGGTGAAAAATGTGTAAAATCAGTTGCCTTAACAAATATGTGAATGCAAGGCTTTCAAAGTACTTTCAGTATACTTCTTAGCATATATGTTGCTAATTTTGAACATAGTAAAATCCAGTTGCCTGTTTATTTTAGTCATGCATCTGACCCTTATTTTCTGAAGATATGTCAGTTTAATCTGATAGACTATCTATCTATCTATCTATCTATCTATCTATCTATCTATCTATCATTTAATCTATCAGTATAGATTTCTCTATCAGTGCAGATACTTTTGATGTCCATTTATACCAACACCTTGCATGTCCAGAACAACTTCTTAAATTCAAACAATGTGACCATGAGCACAGTCTTTGAAATTCAAGTAACATTATTATCATAATACATTATCACTTTGTACAAACTCAGACATGAAGGCAGAAGACCTTCTGTGAAGCCTGTAGTGGCTTGATACCATCTCTTTAAATTAACCAAGTCTTTTATCTTCTCAAAGATGCTTAAATTTTACATTTGAATAGCTCATGTCTATATTTAGATTCTGATATCCCACAGGAACTTGCTTTTTAGGAAGGAGGGAAGTACCAGAGCAGTGCCCACAAAGGCAATGCTGCACCCCTGTAATAAAATGGATTAAGTTTATTTCACTGTCACTGCAAGATCTCCACCCATTAAATAGGTGCCCCCCAAACAAGTACTTCCTCAACACTTAGACATTTTTTTTTCAGAGAAATGTAATTTTTCCATGAATTGTGACATCAAGAAACAATTTAAGGCCTGTCATCCAGTGGTGGTTCAAATAAACGGTCCTTTCTGAATAAGAACCTGCAGCCGTTTACTTCTTTAATATATGTAGCCTTCAAGTTAGGAAATGTTCTCCATTCTTTTCATACAAATCAGTCAGACTTTTCCTAATGCAGGGCCAGGGGAGGATCATGGTGCAAGAAGAATACACACCTTTAAAAGTCTGTCTATTAGGACACTGGATAGCAATATTTCTTTCAAAGTGCAGGCTGTACTATTGATCTATCACTTATCTACAGTTCTCATGGGATGTAAAGAGACAAGGAAAGTGAAATTTGGATTAAAGCATTTTTCTTAATGAATGCACTGATATTTACTAAAGTCTCATTGTATGATTTAAGAGTTTTTTCCATATTAATAGACAATGCAAGCGGTTAATAAGAAAATGGATCCACAAAAGACACTACAAACTATGCAGAATTTCCAGAAGGAAAACATGAAGATGGAAATGACTGAAGAAATGAGTAAGTTCTGCACTGCAGGGCACAGCTGGCTGCTCCTGGCAGGGGAGAACCAGCCTCAAAACACTAATGTTTGAACTTTATTCCTATAGCTAATGAGACTGACAGCAAAAATAGAGAGCAAACAAAAACAATGTATGTCTGAGCAGGAAAGCTGAGCCTTAGACTTTTAGAAGCTCTAAAAGAATCCATGCCTTTCCATCTTCTGCAAAACATTCATTATATTTTTAGAAGGAACATTCTGAGGGGGGAGAGGGTTTGAGACCTATTTAAGGCCTTGATAGTATAACTGGTAGGGGGACTTGAAAAATTGCCTTATTTTAGATACTGATAATCTCAGCTTCCTGCACATGGTGGCACAGACATGGTTCTGTCTCCTTTTTCTTAAATTAAGCCACAAACAACTTTTTGGGGGAGGCAGCAAGTTTCTTGTTCCTGAGTGCACTGGCTAATTCTTTGTGCTGCTCACAGTCTTCTCTCCATCCCAATTCCTGCCCCTTTGTTGGTGATATTAAGTAGCATGGACTCAAACCAGTGCTGTTGACCAAGATGGAAACACCTCAACTGCACACAAGTTAGCTGAGTTAACAACTTCGCAACATACTCAGAGGAAGAAGAGAGGAAGGGATTTTTATGTATCTATTGGTGTTTTGCAGAAATGTTAAAATCTAATATGGGGGGAGATACAACAACTGAACTCTTTTGGTGGAACTAAACATTTTTACAAAAAGAGCCATGCCTTAGCCTGTTGTTGCCCTGGCTGTGCTCACAGGCTTTGCAAGGCAGAGCTAAGAGAGCCTCTCTAACACCCAGGTGCCTTCTAGTGGCATCCTACACTGTGGTATTACTGCTGTGTTCTGGGAGGGTAGAGAGATGGTGCTAGGTCATGTTAGTCACCTTTTTGCTTAATGCAGGCTGGACTTTGTTTTCTTTCTTCAAAGTTAATGATACGCTGGATGATATTTTTGATGCTTCTGATGAAGAGGAAGAAAGCCAAGATATTGTTAATCAAGTGCTTGATGAGATTGGGATTGAAATCTCTGGCAAGGTATGGCTACTTTTGTACGGTTCATGTGCTTTTTGCCCTGCATTCCATTTTTTAAAAAACCATTCATTGTAAAAGTCAGCTTGTCAAAACCTGCATTATTCTGACTGAAGAAAACTTCTTTCTCCTTCCAGATGGCCAAAGCTCCCTCAGCTGCCAGAGGTTTGCCATCTGCATCGGCATCGACCGCCACCACCATATCGGACGAGGAGATCGAGCGCCAGCTCAAAGCCTTGGGCGTGGATTAACTGATCCAGTTCAGAGTGCCTGCTGGGTGCTCAGCCCTAGACACATGTACAAAGTGCAAATACTCTTTCAATGCAACTGATTCCTAGGAAAACCCTGAAGTCTCAGAAATGACAGCTTGGAGATCAATTTGCAGAGAAAAGTACATCTTTTTTTTTCATCCACTGCATGGAGTCTTTTTGACTCTGGACCAACCAGGGGTATAGCTCTAACAGTAAATTCACTTACACCTGATCCAGATCTGTCCTTTGGATTCAGTTTTCTTCCGTCTCAGTTCCTGATCTGTCTCTAGAACTGGCTATTCTGTGGCTGGTCATGCCGCTTCTTAGGACAGCACCTATGTAATATTTATCATTTTTACAAAACTATCATTATAGAAACATTCTTATTCTTTCATCTCTTAGCACAAATGAAACTTTGCCTTGGCTGTTAGTTGGAAACTATTTTTTCCATGAGAAATAGCTTTGAAAGTCTAGCTAATTTAGGCAGAAAGAAAAAGCATTTTATGCATTTCTTTGAAATTCCTTCTGAGCTGATGAAATAATAGCTTGTTATTCTTCTTACCAGAAGGGAAGGATACACTTGTAGTGCAGTTAATTTTTATGGAAGAGGAGTTACATTTATTAGTGAACTTTGTTGCATGAAAGGCACTGATTGAACTCTATCGTACTGTAACATAGCTGGTTTCAACAGAATTGCTGTGCCTTTATGTATATAAATCTTGTACCTTTGTGATTTTCTTTCAGAATGAGTCTTTGAAAGGTGAGTAAACTTAATTATTAAGATGGTTTCACAAAATGCTTTGGTGAGACCTCTGTACACTTGATGGGACTCAGTGCTGGAGAGATGCACTCATTCAGAAATGCAATTTGTGCACTTGCAAAAAGGACACTTGCCTGAAGCAACATTTGTATATATTTTACAGTATTTCTTAATGGAAGATAACTGCATAATATTGTATTGTTTGCTGAGATGCAACTGATCACATTGATAAACTTAATCTAAATCTTAGTTTTGAGAACAATTTTGGATCATAAATGATAACTACTTGTCTAAACACTATAATAAAAGCGTTCTGGTTCTGTGAAGGTTTTTCTATGGTCTCTGAACTGCATCAACACAACTCTAGCTTTAAATGGAATATGCGTTGTGCTAAGGAATAAGAACTGTTGATACTTGAAATAGTCAAAATGAGAATGCAGTTCCCAGTTATTACTTCCTAGATGGTGTGATATTCCTCAGCCCTGACTCTGCTGGAGATATTTACCCCTCAGTGTTGATTTAGTGGTGCTGCTCATTTGAAAAGAAGTAACGGTCATCTTGGCTTTAAAAACAGAAAAGCAAAATACCTCCCAACTGCAAAACCAGGAAAACTAGGGTGGAACAAACCTCATAAAGAGACTTTGCTGCTAGACAAAGCATAGCAGAAACCTCAGTGAATCTACTGTTGTTGCACCATCTACTGTTTAGGACTGAAGTCAGCAAAGAGAATTCATAGGAGAGCCTTCCTCAGGTTTTAGGCCTAGAATTGCAGGTATTCTTTCTCTTTCTTAGAAATAATGGACAAACTGAATCTGTCAGGTAGTGAGTAGGAATGTGTAAGTTAATATATTGCATATATCCAATATGGGGTGATTTTTTTTTACAAGTTATTTTGTAAAAATCTAATAAAAGGCTTTTTATTCCACAATGACTTTGTCCTCTGTAGGGTTAGTCTTACACATCTGTCTCTTACTGGGCTTTCTTTGTGAGCTCTGATAAATATTCCTTTGACTTGAGCTATAAAGCAGCGTAATATTTATCATAGTTGCTTGTGGGCCTTTGACTCAATATTCAGTAAAGACTTGTTTGTTTGCATTCCCTTGTCTGGAGCCTCATGCCCAAGTAGTACTCTGTGGTATTGAAAGAGAAATCATAATGTGAACACAGGGATAGAATGGCAGTGGTTCATTGTGGTTTGGTTGAACACCAAGGCTTATGTCCTTTCTGAATGAGGTGTGCAGTTGATCCTTTTAATAACTGTCAAAATTGGGAATAATTCCATAATGAGTTCTTTCCTCTGGGCCTTTGAGGAACAGGAAAAAGGTGTTGCCTTTTGGTGCCATTAGGACTGCTGAACTAGGGCTGGTGCCAGTATCAATCCCGTGGTTGGTTACAAGTTACCTTTTCAATCCTGCAGCTGTACCCTGTGTAAAAATCTTTCTTTGCAGAGAAGTGCTGTAGTTTTGCAGGCATGTCTGCAATTATGGTAATTATGTTGGATCAGTCTAAAAATGCTGCACCCCCTACTTAACTCCTTTTAAATCACATTGAGTGATTTAAAAGTCCTTTACCCTCCTTTATCCTTGCTAGCACCTAAATAGGAGCTGGATCTGAGTCTCCAGCTGGGGTCAATGACATAGTTGTGCACACACCTAAAAATGGCTCCACCCATACTCCTCGAGTGCCCAGAAGCAATTCCCAGGGGAGCACTGAGAACACGATGAGTGTAGATGATGCTTTCTCCCCTAACACTCTTCCAACCTCTATTTTTAACATAAAATACATCCAGAGTCATGTGCAAGTTCTACACACACCAGCTTTAAGTGGCTTTCTCATCTGAGAACTCCTCCATACAAAGGAGCTTCAGGCACTCACATGTTTTTTTCCACAGATTTTTTTTTCTCAATCATGTTAAAAAACCACCCCTTTTTTGTTTTAAGCTTTCCATCTTCCCATATTTACTCCTAGTTCTTATATTAGGCAGGAAGGTGAGCAGCCTGCCTCCTTCAGCCTTTTAGTTCAGTTCATAATTGAGCAGACTCTATAGCAGTTGATGCACACACATTAAGTCTGGCAGAGATCTCTGATCAGGCTGTGCTTTGTTGGTTGTGTCCCTCACATGAGGGCACAGCACATCACAGGCTCTTCAGAGACAGCTGAACCTCAGATTTATACCTTGTGATGATACCTTGTTTTGATCTCTAGTTTGGTTGTAACACCCTGCCTAAAACTACCATGGGAAAAGGAGAGCAAGAAATCAACGCCACAAATATCTTCAAGAATAACAGTACAGCCCAGCTTGGCTGAATAGCCAAATAAATTCCTACAGGTTTATAGAGCTGCTCCTTGGAAATCCTGCCTTATGTGCAGTTTTTTCTCCCCCCCACCATCCCCCATCAACAGTAATTGATGGTAATTAAGTTGTTCTTACAGAAAAAAAAAAGAATTACCACTTTCTGTAAGTAATGGCTCCAGCTGCAGCAGTTGGAGTTGATTTCATCCAGGTTTTCTTCTTTAAATAATTCTAATTTGTTCGTATTTCTGTGGTGGTTGGTAGGTGTGTTTAAATGGTGGCTGCTTCCCTCAGCCTTTTGTCATTCCTTTGAAACATGATTTTGTTCTGTGTCACTTTTCATTTCATTTTACTCTGTTGCTGCAGTTAGCTTTCACTTGTGAGACTTTTGAGGGGCAAGAGACCACCACATTACAGTGAGGCTGCTTTGAAACAAAGTGTTAGGGAATTCTAAAATTACTTCAGGATGACACACAGCTAAAATGAGTAAAGTATTACCAAAACAAAATTTCAAACCATTGCCTGGAGTGCCAAAAGTATAGGGATACTTTACTGGATGAGGGGGTTGGGATGTGCAGGCTGATAGCAAGACTAGGAACCCTTTCATGATTAAGAAAATAATTTGGAATATAAATAAAGTTTTTATATATCAGATAGTAATTTCAACATACATAACATTTGACCACATCACATGAAAGGTTCACCAATGCATGCCACCACCTTTGCTGAGTGCTGATCCTCTCAGCTGAACTTTTTTTGTAAAGCTCATGACTTGCTGATAACTTGTGGATAAAAGTATGTACCTTGGTCTCTGCTGTAGTGGGTCAGCTGTGCTAGTGATGAGAGCAGCCTGAAGGGAGTACATGGCCACAGTTTCTCCCTTTGAGTAATTAAATTGAAGTTTTCTTCTCAGTTAAGGGCTTTGAGTGGTGCATTCATCCATAAAAAGGTGGGTTTTTTTAGAAATCCAGGAGCCTGATTTCCATTGCTGAATACACTTACGGTCGCTGTAATAAGTATCAGAGATAATTTAATGTACACCAGAGAGTGAGCACTTAACTTGTACATGCTGCTCCTAAGTGGTCTTGAACATTAAACTCCTTTGGCTTTCTGTGGGCCTATTATAGAGACATTTTCTAAATCATCAGGTTTGTTTTATGGAAAAATAAAATGTATCTGGCCAGTGCTACTTGCATGTACTCACTTAATTTCAGTCCTGGGAAAACAGTCAAAATACTTATATGGTAATGGACTAATTCCCATAACAATGAGCAGGGCTGATGAGATGGCTGGATAATCTATCCCTGGTGAGTACTACAGTCATTAATTCAGTTTTCTCAGTGCCTGCCTGATGGGTGGAGCTCTGGCATTGGTACCCTACCCCCTCAATTGTCTCTAGGCTAGAGGATGACAAATAAGGGATTATTTTCAATTAGTGGGGTATAATAGAGAGGGAATGTGCAGTGCAATAAATTCTTCTTTCGTATACTTTTTAGCTTAACACACCATCTCTGGTGTAAGTATGTCCACACATGGTTTTAATCAGAAGAAAGTACAACACAGAGAAAGACCAATGTAATAAAACCCCTGATAATTATTTTTCTTCCCCTCAGGCCACAAGGTCTTTAGGTCAGATAAATGGTATTCCTGCTTTTATAGCTAAGCCTACCCAAACCAAACTTTGAGGCACATAACAAATTAGCAAGAATTACCTTTGACAGCACCCATTATCCAAGCCACTTCTATTTGACACCAGTTCAAGGCAGTCAAATGTTGGGCTGGGACAGAGCACCCAGGTAGGAGCAGCTCTGTCCTGGTGAGCTCACAGTGCCTTAATGACAGCAAAATCCTTCCTACAGCTGCTGACACCGAGCTTTGCAACCTTTCTGAACGTACAACACACGTACATTTAGTCATTAACTGGTACCACAGAGGCAGGAAAGGCACAGCACAGGGAAGCTGCAGCTGCCTGTGAAATTTGGGAAGCGTTCCCAGTTGAACAATGTGTGATGGGTTCCTTGCAGAGACCTCCAGCTCTTTAAACAGACACTACAGGATTTAGTTTCCAACCTTTTACATTAAAATTGAGTCTTCCACAAACACTACATCTGAAGCTGGTAGCTTGAAGGAGGAGTGAGTGGTTTACTGATTTTTCTCTTTATTTATTGTTTTTTAACAACACAGTATTTACAGTATTTACAAGAAGCAAAACAGAAATCCACACCTGTACGTGGAAAAGCTTCACCGGCATTCATGGTGCTCCTTGATAATAGAACTGAAGGCATTCTGGTGTAAACTGGTCTTCACTCTTTTTTCCCTTTGTCTTCTGTTGCAAAACCAAACTCTCACGACTTCTTTCTCAAGATTGAGCCCCTCAGCCATCCTCATAATTTCCTGAGAAGAGGGCTTGCTTTGTTCTCCAAAGTGCCTCTCTAGGGCTTCTTTGGCAGCGATGCTGGATACAGGAGTAAAATTTCACCTTTAAAAACTTTTTAACATTAAAACATTCAGGCTTTCACCACTAGTTCAAGAGAAAGATCAAACAGCACTGAAGGCAGTGACTTGGTTTGTTTCATCTTTCTCTATGTAAAGGAAACCCAAAGCACTAAAAATACTCTGTTAGTTCTCTGTTGACAAGAGCGGTGTGACATCATACAGAATTTCAGCATGGGGTGATTAAAAGGCAAAAATGGCATCAAGTTCAGTGCAATTTCGATGTTAATTATAAGATATTTGTGTGCTTCTTGGCATTATCTAGGAGACACAGCTACTAACTAGCTGTAAGTGGGGTGACAGGGTTTGGAACAAGCCTGACCACTCATCTGCCCCAGCAAATGCACATCAGTAGTGTTACCTGGTTGTAGCAAATCATTTGGGTTTACAGAGAGGAAGAGCTCCATCACTTAGATTTGGGAAACACTGTGTTTTGTATCTCACAAATTATAGAGACAGCACTAGAGCATTCCTAGAAATCACAGAGATTATTGCCAGCTGTTTCAGCTATCACCGCATTTTCCAAATGTCTGCCCTCATCTGTTCCTCAGTGTCAGCAGCTGACCAGAGTGGTTCACTAAACAGAATAATTTAATACTGTTATTTTTTTCCTTATTTTCTGATAGAATTTGCTTCCAATTTCTGTTACATATTCTACAAAAAACATTGTGACAAGCTTGTGCCACCGGGAGGCATCCAGAAACTTCAGCAGTAGCTGTAATTTCTTTGGACACGAGAGGGCACTTCATGCATTATTCTGGAAGTGAGGTGCAGGTATTTGCTACAGAAATACAGTATCTGCTTAAGTTCTAGTTGTTTCATCTCTTGGTCTTTCATTTACAGGTCAGTTTTTTCAATATTTGCTAATGTTTAACAAAACTGGCTAATTAATAGCATGGTGTTCTGCACATGCAGAAGTATAAAAACATCATTACTTTTGACTCACAACTTCTTAGGTTTTGAGTAATGTATGAAGTCTAATATTTTCCACAAATTCAAATTTAGAGGCTTTTGCTGTGGTCTAACTTAATTTTGTTCATGGGACTTTTCTTATACCATTAGTTTGTCTTCAAATATTCATTAAGAGTGGCTGAGAGAAAGGCTACAGAGTTCAGATAAAGCCCATCTCCCTGATTAGTTTCAGGTCTTTAAACTGAGGTGCTGTATGCCTTCAAAGGGGTAATTAATATTTTCTTACTACACAGGATTTTGTCCTCAATTTTTTCTCAATTATCCATGCTCTTGACAACCTGTCCTGTTTGTGAATCCCACTGCAGCGGGGTTAGATGTAAAAATGCTTTATATAAGGAGTGGTTTTATCAATCAGTGTTAAAAAGCAAAGCCCACAATGTTGGAGGAACAAATTCTAGTGGGCTCCTCTGGCCAGGGGCTCAGAGATGCTCTGAGCTCTCCTGCAGGCCATGCTCCATGAAATGGGGAATGTCTTGGCACCGCCACTTGAGTCCTCACTGGCCTGTAGAGAAGCTGGGAGGAGAAATTGGCCTCTCAAGAGTAAAGCTTCATCTCCTGTGAGGTGCTGACGTGAGCTATGAAGCATTTTCTGTCCCAAAGTCACTCCTAATTGAGAAGCATCCCTTCAGAGGAACCTTTATTTAGAATCTGGGATATCCAAAGGAGAAGGAAATACTCCACACTCTCATTTTGCCTTTTTGATAATTTTTTTTATAGTGTATTTTGCCAGCCTACTTAATTTCCACATGGAACTGAGACTTGAGAAGTGGTCACTTGAGATGTTGGCCACCAGAGTTGTGAGAAACAAGAAAAGGAACTTTCCAGAACAACTCTGTTTTCTCCCTTTAATTTATTAAAGTGTTTCTTTGGAACCTCAAACAATTTAGTGACAGGGAGACAGCAGGACATACAAAAGCTTTCTCTCAAACTTCCTAGATCTCTGTTCTCTGCCAAATTTATCTGGGTTTTTTTATTGTATCCAAATCTATATGTTTATTTATTACACCAAAATTATGCAATTTATTTTGGAATAATGTAGAATCTCCCAAAATTAAAATGAAGATGCTCTGATACCTTACTCACTATATAGATGGAATAAATTTTGACTGAATTAGAATAAAATATATTTACATATGAAAGTGTGTGGTTGAAGAAATGGGGAAGAAATAGTATCTTTGGAATGAATTTGGGGTCTGGAGGGTTATGCTGGTTTTTTTTCACTACAGAGTTTCTAACTATTGAAACTTTTCAAAGCACAAGATGTAGATATTCATTGAGAGAATTTGACAGAAGTAAAAGCATCATCTTAGCCAAAATAGTTTCTAACCTGTAATGACCTAAATATTCATTACCTTATGGTGGTTCTGCGCTTCCTCTTCCGTTCATTCACTCCAACTTTTTCATTGTACAAAGCTGTATTAAAAAAACAAGAAGAAGCCAATCAACAAAAGCTGGCAGTTACATTCCACAGGGACTGGAAAACAAGAAAAATCATTACCAGAAAAATAGTCACTGCCTTTGAAGGAAGAAGAAAGCACAAGAGAAGAGTGGTGCAGAATAAAAGGAGCATCACACACAGGATCTTTCCGTTGTTGGGATGGTTGGTCATTGTTTTACCTCCAAGTGTAAATGGTTATAGGCAGAAATTGTTAGAAGCAAAAGTCCTTTGCTTGTGAAAAATCCTTGTACACTGCTAAATGGAACTGATTTGCTGGGAGGGAACTAGAAAAAAAAATCTTTCAGCAGTCCAAGAGATGTTTCTGCTATTCTGTACATTCCATGCATTTCAATTTTCCCCTCCATGCTCTTACAAAAAGAAGATAACTATACTTTAATATACACACCTCTGCATTTAAAGCCAGCAAAACAAAATCTTTAGTTTGCAGAAGACATATAAATAGCCCTAAAATATTTATATGGGATTCTGCTTGAAGTGCAAAACAATACTTAGAGGACTTCAGTTCTCTACCTCCCACTTGTTCAGCTTCCTCCAGCCACTTGGACAGGATGGATTTCAGTTTGCAGGCGTTCTTGAAGCTCAGCTGCAAGTTCTCAAACCGGCAAATCGTCGTCTGGCTGAACTCAGAGCCGTGCACAGCAGCCAGCGCTTCTCCAACGTTGGTTTGTGTATAACCTGCCAAAAAACAAAGAGGAAAAAGCAGCTTTGGAGGAGGGTTACTCTCCTTGAGATGCTCAGCCCTTCTCTACTGGCTCTTTTGGACAGTGTGTGCTGCAGCACCTTTGGGATGAGCTTCCTGAGAGGTCTCTGTGGCCAGCTGAGCTCAGCTCAGAGCCCTTCTCAGTCTCCTGGTGCTTTCTGTGGAGTGTGACACTGATTTAGTGGAGTTTCACACTCCAGGATTAGGGATCTGAGAAGGATCCAGACACCCCATGTCTTTCTGTAGATGGTACAAGAGCAATCAATTAGTCCCTAGCGGTGCTGCTGGTCTCCTGACATTTGTTGCAACAGCTAAGGTGAAGTCATCAGAGACATGCTGTAGTTTCCATGCAGTCTCTGACTTTGCATCACGAGCCTCCTGTTCATTTCTCTGAATGTGGATCTGCTGTGGCTGGGGGACTGGATCATCATCCTCCTTTTCTGCTTTGGTGCCAGGACAAGGTGGGATCTCTTTAAGCACTCAGTGTCCCATGAGGCACCTTTTAACTTCCTTTTTGACTGCATTAACCCTGTGTCTCTCAGGCCCACAACTCTGTTTTGTCTTATAAAGCTCAAACTGAGATTATGTTTCCTGTACATATTGAATTTCTCCCATTCTACAGGCTCCATGTCATTTGATTGCACCAAAGGAAATTTTGGTCCCTCCAAAATTCAGGATGAAGATGCAGTGATTAACTATGTTTGGCCTAGAAAACGCTTTCCATCGCTGTGGCTGACATCAGATACAGGATATACAGGAAAATTGGCCAGTTTGCAAATGTTTTTTAAACCCTAATTTATTTTATTTCAGTTCAGACCGCAAATGGAACATACTGGCTTTCTAGCTATTGAGATAGTGCACACATACACCAAATAACCTTACAGTTTTTTTAGATTTATAAAATAAAAGGATTCCCTATAATTCTGATGCAATGCTTTAAGTGATAATGCCAAGAATGACAGGGCCCAGCCCACCTTTGTCCTCAGCAGTTATCTCACAGAAACAAAGATATCAATTGCTTCCCAACTGTGTTGTGGCACAAAAAAATAAATCAGGAAGAGAAGCTTCCTACTGGTGTGAAGGATTTCCCATGGAAGTCCCTCAGTGTATACTGAAATGACCACACACCATCAGGTGAAACACTCCATGGGGAAGGGGATGGGTATGAGAAGTTAGAGCACGTCCTGCCCTAAATTGCAGATAATTTGGAGCTGTGCAAAATATTGCACCTGACACTGAATGTGAATTATTGAACAGCAAAAACTTTCTCTGCATTTAACACAAATAATTTAAGGGCAGGAAAGGTTAAAGTCCCTCTCTGCAAACTAAAAGCTGAAGTGCAATAATTCCATTTAAACCTTCTAGGAATGGAGAAAGTTTTGCAGGGCAAGGCAGGATTAAGAGTTATGATCAGACAACGGCCGAGGCCAGACCATAAAACACTCAGAAATAATTGGGCTTTCACTGGAATCTTTCAGCCTTCTGTCCATGGACATAAAGCACGTACCCAGCTTGATTCTCCGCAGCTTAAACTCGTTGGCAAATTTCTCCAGCTCCCTGATTTCGGGGGAGTCCATGTCCACAGGCTCCTCCACAGACTTGCTTTTCCTGCGGAACTCCTGCTTGAAGTCGGTGGCAGAGGCGTCGTCCGTGAGCAGGGGCTGGGGCACGGGCGCGAAGCCGTGGCCCAGGGCACAGGGGCTGGCACTCAGCGCGTGCTCGGGGAACTTGTACAGGCAGGGGGTCAGACCACCTGGGCAAGGCCAAAGAGAGAGCTCATTGCAGCCATTCTCTGCTGCCATGCACACAAACCTCCCCTGGCCACCTCAGAACCTATGTCTGTAATATTAATTATACAACAGGCATCCAGGATTTCCCAGGATATATCTTCTCTTTCTTGTCCCAGCCCCTTTCACCAGCCACAGCCATCCTATTACTTAGTAAACTGTGAAGCACTTAAAGAGGAGGTAAATGGTGTAAACTTTCACAAATGAAAATCCATGCTCTGAGTTGGAATTAAGTGGCACAACAAGATAGATGCATCTGTGTCGTTTTGAGTCACTTAAAATTTGCCAGCCTCTGTTTTCTGGTACAAAGAATATTTCCATCTAGATGTCATTTGATGCTCCGACAAGATACTATCTTGGCTTAACTGCAGCGTAAAATTTCTTTGAGGAAAGTACACAAGTAAGAGCACAAAGGAAAAAAAAAACCAGGAAACCAGAACTCATTTGGAATGATCCTTCAAAAAAGAAATTGCTCAAGGACAAAACAGAACTAACTTTCAGTACCTTTTGTTCAGAAATGTCAGACTTAACAAGGTGATTCAGTTATGAGTGAAGGCTGGTTTTCCCCTAGATATTGTACATAGAGCTGAAAAGTCTCTGACCTGAGGGAGGCATGGGGGGAATTACTGGAGAAATATTAACACTCCTCAGTGAATCTGGAGCAGCCAGTAAATTCCAGGTTCTCAGGTCATCCTTCCCAATTTTCTAAACTACACAAAACTGCATAGAGGAACTCAGAACTTCATTAACCTCCCTCTGCTTCCTCCATTTATTAGGGTTAGTTTTTTCTTCACCACCCCAGTTATTCCCATCAGTGTTGGAGGTTCTAACCCCATGAAATTATTTTATACACTTCACACAGGATAACCACCAAAAAAAAATTCTCAAAAAACAATGAAAAATACTTTAGAAGAGGGGGACTTGCTTTGCAAGGTGCTGACACCATTTACCACGTTGGGGTGGGGCATGCTGCACGTCTGTAAGATGCGAGTCTGGGAGAGACTTGCTGAGAGCATCTCTGGAGTTGCAGGCTTGATGCCTAAGAAAATAAAGAAAAGAAGATGAAAATAAGAAAATAAAGGAGAAGAATAAAAATGTGTTGATTTTGTAATTAAAGAAAATTATTTTCTAAGCAATGTAATTTATTGTTGCTTATTAACTTTCCCCAGGGACCTGGACAATGCCAGGAATGTTTGCAAAAGACACAGAAATGCACAATGAAATAGGAGCATTTGGAAATTTACACACCATGATGGAAGTTTATACTCTGTCCCTATGCAGATATATTAGTCTATGCTGATTTACTCTAGTATTTCCTTAATTCTTATTATTATTAATTCTGAGTTAGATTTTGGATTATTTCCAAATCCCATTTATTTCCTGGGAGTTAAGTTAATTTGGTTCATGTCATTATCTCATTGACTGCTACTTAAACTTACACAGAAAAAAAGTGCCTCAGTCTTACTGAGCCTGGGACAGGGAAGAATGAGCAGGATGCATTCATGAGTGTAAAAATCCATGATGACATGGCTGATCTGCCTGCTGAATTTAGCTCTTTAGCCCTTCATTATGCCATAATTTTATTTTATAGCTTCAGCCAGGGCTGATCGTACTGCTCTGGTGCTGGTCGTACACAGGTGCATTGGGTATGTCACTTCTGGTCCCTCAAAAAGTGATAATTACCAGGAGAAGTGGCCAAATGGGAGTAAAAAGAGCAGAACTTTCCCAGCCTTGTAGGGAGACATAAAATACAGAGTGATTCCACAAGAGATGCAGAGGTTTGGGAAACTCTGGGCACTGGCCTCCAATGTCCTAACCCTTTTTCTAACACCTTCAACCCAAATCCCGTCTTCTTTAAAGGGCTGTCTTGGATTGGTCCCTCTAAAGGAAAGCTGGCTAAAATCCAGGTGCTGAGAGCTCACCCAGCTGAGGGTTAACCTCTTACCTGCCATCACCCCGTAGGTGGAAGGCTGATTCCCATAGTGGCAGGAGGGCACGGAGTAGTGAAGGCCTGGCCAAGGGCGTCCCGGCGTCGTCGCGGCAAAGCCAACGCGCGAGCACGCACGAGTCGGGAGCAAAGAGAAAACAGATGGCACTCGTAAGAACTCGAGATTCAAGACACAGCCTTTGAGCTCGAGGCAGGCAGTGCCTGCTGCACAGCTGTAGCTTCTTCTGTGGGTATTTAACACAGGATCACAGCCACCAAGTTAACAGGGGCATGTCAGGGAGAGCTGGCACCAGAAATAGCGGGACATCCTCTGAGGCAGGACTAGGAATTGTCATGCTGCCTCTTGATGAGTTGCTTTTGTTATAATCTGTGGGCATAAGCCAGTTTCCACAAACTGCTGAGCTGGGGAAGCTTTGTGCTCCTAAGGAGGAGACCTGTTCCTCTCCTCACACAACTTCCACAGGCTGATTCATTCAATCTCACACAAAAACTGGTTCTGTGCTCTCAGGAAATTGCCTCCACTGTCGAGCAAATCCTGCAGTCAATAAAGGCCTTCCAAAGGCAGCAGTTTGGGACTTTTGCTTTGATGTGTCAAAAAAAAAAAATCACGATTTCTTGAGTGCCAAGCAACAAAAAGCATTTCAGAGTGCTTTGGCAAGGTGGTAGAGAAACAAGATGGTAAATTCTGGATTATTCTAAAAAGTCAGGGCTAAATAAACATTTTCCATCACCAGCACCAACAAACACACTGTTAATTTATCTCTGGTGTTTTCACTGTGGTATTTCAGGTCTGTGCTCAGTAATAGCCAGTGCCTGAAGGATGAGACCATTTTTTGCTGAATGCAATATAGAAATATGACTGTTTCTCATGTATAAGTAGGAATAAAAATGCATGTATTGCCCCCTCTAAAAACTGAAATAAAACAGAATATTAAAAACTAATGTTCATGAGCATCCAGATATGTAAAACCACATTTTAAAGAACACATTCCTGTTGTTCAAAGCAGTCTATTTAATTAAGGATTGGAATCTGTGGGTTTTGCAACAGTAATCATAACAGTAAAGCGTCCTATTGAAATACACTTGTACAGATATAAAATCTACTGAGACAAACATGCTTATACTAATGTAGATGCAGTGAAAATAAAGATCGTGTTAATAACTGTAATGCATGTAGAGCAATTAAACTTTTCTGTTAAGATCTGAGTCCTTACTGGTTGCATTTTTCCCCTATTTCATAATCCACATACTATAACTTTTATGCATGTGTGCTGGTTTTGCTTTAATTGATATTTGGTGAGGAGGGAAGAAGCCACCCACAGAAATGGTTTTTCTGATTTCATGCCACAGCATGAAAATACAATTTTTGACTTGCTAATAATGATTTAAAATTAAATAGTGAGGATGATGCTATGTAAATGAAATAATAGAGGTTAAAGTGTTGAGGATACTGCAGAGCAGCAGCTGAATGACGCAACACAGTATTTGAACAGAAGTATTTTCACCTTTCTTTTGATAAAGAATTGTTACATCCATTTTTAAAACTTTTGACATTTAAATTAAGTTGTTATTCAAAATCCTTCCAGCATTACATGGTACACAAATTCTCCTCACATGTGCTCAGCAGAGTGGCACTTTTTATGTGTACAATTCCTTAATCTACGTATGAAATTTGTAAATCTTGACTCATTATAGTTACCACCCTCCGTCTCTGCTTTCCCAGGGTCGTTTTTTCACAGGATCATCTTCTGGATGTGACCCTGCAATCAAAATTTCCACTGACTGCAGTGGCATTTATCCTTGGGTGGCAGATAGCAAACACCAAAACCTAAACCTGTAGCAGGCGAGCAGATGCTCTGGGCCAGCCCTCATCGTGTGCTTTCCATCACAAGTCAGATGAATCTAGAAAATACTGCTGTGATACAGATACATAAATATGACCTCATACAAAATTTAAATTCTCTTATTCCCTGCCACTATTGCTAACCCACAGCTCAATTAGGATGTTTTGAGCTTCTTGCTTAGTGTATAAGATGATCCTGTTTTCTGTTACCGATAATCAGTTTTCATTACTTGCGTGCTTTTTCTTTTCATTAAAATGCTTTATTACCTGCTCATTTTTAGGAAAAATCTGGTTTCTTGTTAAGACTCCAAATAAAATTCTAATGTTAATGCAATTTCAAATAAATCAACTATTTCTTTTTCTGTTCCTGAAGGTATTCTATCAACAAGTCCTGTATTCCAGAATCCCACCTCTGCAGAATTAAGGCTGCAAGAAAACTCTCTCTGGCTCAGATATTCAGTGATAAAGTAGTCCTAGTATTTAAATGCATCTAATTGTATTACATACACATGCAAGACTCAAAAATATTGATAAGGTTTCTACTACACATTTTGAACATCCCACTTAAACCTTAGGCTTGATTCAGTTTGCAGTATGCCTTGAAAAGCAATGTTTTTCCTTCTTTAAAACAAGTTATATTTACACCTGAGGTCTTTTAAACATATTTCCTATTTAAGGTAATTTATAATATTTTAAATTATGGCTGCATAATAAACAAACTTTCATTAATTTACATGACAGTGGTTATACCAACAATGACAGTGTTTGAACCTAAATTGGCTGCATATTTGAGTCTAATCTTATAACAAACTTAGAGAAAACCACGTATTTAGCTAAAATACAAACATTTGTGATTTTCCTGATTCACTCATATGCAGAGTTTTGTGAAATTGCTTCTACTTTAGCATAGACCCAATCATGCATAACACTGATACTGAACACTTTAAATACCGAGCACTTGATGAACTCGTATATCACCCAAAAATTACAAATGAGAGCAAGAGTATTTTCAAAAAGTACCTGTAGACACAACATTGGTGGCATGGTTGGAGACCTGCAGGCACTCTGCAGCGCTGTGATGCATTATCAGAGGCAGAGAGTGAGAAGAGTCAGAATTCAAGGGCACAAAGGTGTCTGAGGAAGCAAAGGCTTGGCAGCTCATACCCTCCAAGAGGCAAGAGAGCTGCCTGTCCCCTGTTCTACCAGAGCAGATCCTGCAGGATTAATGGCACCTCAAACTCTATTCCAGGATTTTACCTGGATATACACACAGAGGAGAGCTCCAGAGCACAAGAGAGGTCGTGTGCAGGTATTTATACCACTAGGAAATCCCTTTATCCATTTTAATGTCCTTTTCCCAGCATTATTGCTACCCTGCTACAGAGCCTCCCTCCTTCCCACACAAACACAATACGTGTCCAATTAATGGGGGGGTGAGGAGGGAAGAAGAGGGAAACCAGAGACATGATTTGACAGGTATTTTAAATTAGGTCTTTTGTGGAGGACAATGACCAGAAAAAAAAATAAAAGTATCGTCTCCAAAGTCGGTGGCAACAGACAAGTGAGTTTAATACTAAGTAAGTTTCCACAGTTAACACCTGCCTCCAAAATCTCATCCAGGCAATTGTCTGGAAGGCAACCTGTCTGAGAGCTCAAACAGTCAATAGTCAAGAACCTATAGCAAAATAATCTGAATTAAGCTAATTCCCAGCAGTTGCACAGTGATCATTTGTCTTGACCTGTAGCAGTATAAGTCAGAGATGTGTAATATGAAGCAGCTGTAGCCAGAAGGATGTTTTTGAACAGATAGCCTTCCATAAGCATGGTGTCCTAAATGTTTATCTAAGATGAGCTCTTGACAGGGCATGGTTCATATTCCAAACTGGTTTAAGTGTCTGAACCAGAATTTTGACAACACAAACTTCAGACACATGAGATGGGAGCAATCATATTTGTTATTGCACTGTTTTTCACGTGTTACTGCAGAAAAGTGATATTGCAACGAGCCATTCTGCAGAACCCTTTATATTATCTTTAAGTGTGTTTTGGAAAAGGCTGTGTCTAAGATTGTGAAGCAATTTCAGAATGGCAAACTGCACATGTGCTTTAACAGTGGTTATCTACTACTTATACAGGCATTTTCAGATTGCAAAACATACAAAAAACATCAAAATAATTATTGTAATGTTATGGAAGATACTGTCATCAAATGAACTCCCATATGCATTACTTTGGGCTTGGCTCAATGTATCTTAATGTCTGTGGATTCATATTCAAAAATTATTTTAGTTATTTTCACCTCCTTTTCTCCCTCAGCAAGGGACATGATAAATTTAACAGGGGCTCCCCTCCACATACCAGAGTTTTGAAGCCATGGGAGAAAAAGAATAACTTCACACCCCTGTTTTTGACAATTCTTTTTTTCTCAGATCTCAACAGGTATCACTGTAGATAGTGATTCAATAAGCAGAAAATTTGCAGTTTCACTGTAAACTCATGTCTAGACCAAAGAAGCTGTAGCCTGTCCCCAAGTACAAGATGGAGCTCCAGATTTCCATTTCTTCCCCAAAAATGGAAAGAGAAGCTTAGGAGAAGTAAGGAGAAGCTTACCCAGCTTTGCCCAGGTGCTCAGGCTTTCCAGACCCGTGGAGTTCATTAGAGGGGTGCTTGTGGGTTTGTGGATGTTGGTCACCCACAGGAGCTGGGACTGATTTGGACAGGGAAAATCGAGTCACAAGGTGCTGAACTTCCCTTCAGAGTGAAGCATGAATGTGTTCTGTGATACCATTCCAGACCCCATCTCAAATGAATTTTTTCATGCCCTGGCTATTATTCATTATTGTGTTTCAGAGTACTGAATTAAAAACTTCCCGTTTTGCATGTTTGTGCTTTATCACCTAATTCTTGCTAACAACTTCACTATTTTTCATTTTGATTACGACCAAGTTGCTGTAGTTGCATTCAGTTTCAACTAAAGGCTATTTTGCATAATTTTTGAGGATCCTGGAAAGCTGGATTATTACAAATACTAGGTATTGGAAAAATTTCAAGTTCATCAGAGCTCATTTCTAATTTCTAATAGCACCTCTCATAAAGCTTTGCTACCACCCTCCGTGGATAGCCTGCTAAGGCTGCAGATTGCCTGACATAAAGTTACCCCATGGCTCCACAATTTGTAATTTCTTGGTCAGTTTTAAGACTTTGCTTCACAGCACACAGTTCAGCTGAAGGCTTCTGGCAGGAATTTTGGGCCACTGACTGAAAGAGGTCATTCCTTCTCTACACTTACAAGTGCTCTCAAAAGTTCAGTGGGAGTTTTCTGCCCTGAAACCCAGACCCCATTCTCCATTTGGAGTGTGGTATGATGCTGGTGAATGTCACAGTGAATCCCACCTGCTTCCAGATGAACCCTCAGTCCAACTGGCCTTTTGGGGGGCAATCACTTCTATAGGAGGATGGGGGAAAAAGATTTTAATGACTGAAGCTTTTTTACACTGTCCTTTATTGGATAATTCTGAGCTTACCTTAATGTCTTTCCTGAGGTCGATTCCAATCCTTATTCCATGTCAGCAGGCTGATTCTTTGCCCCATAAATCTCTTCTGACTGAATACCAAAATAATGAAGAAAGCCATCAAAAACAAACTGAGGATTTTTAAGACAGCATTAAACTGTCTTAGTTTCCAAAAGATCCCTTCACATGGTTTTTTCATCTCAGAAACAGCATCTAACTGTAAGATCTCAGGTCTGGCCATGAGATAGGCAGGGAAACACCATCATTTTCCTCCACAGGAGCACAGCATTTCTGTTCCCAAGAGATGATTCCATGCTGGTCAACAATGGAATTCCCAGCCTCACCTTTGCCGACAGCCACAAAATTACAAAGAAAATCTGGCACAGTGCAAATGTTGGCAGCATCATTGATTCATTCATTCCTTTTCCCTGGTCTCCAAGCCCTTTTGTAGATAAATTGACAACTTTAAGGCTTGTTCAAATACAAAGCTTGCAGAGATGGAAGTCTCTACAAGCCAAATCACTATGATAGTCCTGAAGCTGAAATATATCCCACTGGAACAGTCACTCACACATTTACACTCTGGGGAGGAGTGTATGTGTGTATCTATCTATTTATAGATATCCCAAAAATGCATCTCAGAGAACCTGTGGTTCTTTGGGAAGTGAGCTTTATTTTTGCCTTTTTCTCTTTTTGCCCCCAATAACACTGCAATTTTCATCCTGCCACCCCACACACTTTTGTACAATGCACTCGTGTGTAAATATTTGTGTCACGTTTCTTTATATTCTGAATACTGAAATTCCCAGGTTTGAATTCTATCATAATTTCATGGTTATTTTTCACTGGGTTAGGTAAAAACTGTAAAACTTCTACAAAGATCTGCACATTTTTGAATGTTTACCAAATTCTTCCCCTCGTTTTTCCTGTCCAAAAAGTCCTTGAACTGGAATGACCATGCTCATGTTGTTGAAATCCCCACAAGGCAGAGGAATATCAGGGATCCTTGCTTTACTTCCTACACTGTAAATGAAAAAAGACATCTCTAAGTGCACAACACTGTGCACGGGGAAAAATAAATAAATCTTCTTTCTCAGGTAAGACACAAATTGACTCACAAACTGTCAGTGTATGCCACAGATAGTTTCATTCACAGCTGATGGGGGG